CGAACGGAAAGGTTCACGCTGTGGGATCCTCCCGGGAAGACCCTGCAAGAGCTAAGGAACGAGTGTGCGAAAGTGTTATTTTGAGTTTTGGAGGGTCTGGACCACCGAGGTCTGGGGAGAGGCCCCACACGTGGGTCCCAAACCTGCAGCCTGAACCAAGAAAATGCCAAGGTCAAAGATCTTGTGCTAGACTGTATACTCGGGAGATGCCCTCAAACTGTGCAGAGCCAGCTGCTAGCAGCCTTCCCTCAGGGTGCCGACATTCTAGACTGGTGCGAGAATCAAGGGCATCATTAGAAAAAAACAAAACAAAACAAAATAACCTTCAGCCACCGTTTTATCAGGGAAACCAAGAGGGGTGAGGTGGGGGGGGGGCAAGTTGTTTGCTTGCTTTTCTTTCTTTCTTTTATTTATTCCGTATGTGTGTGGCATTCTGGGTGCCACAGCGCACGTGTGGAGGTCAGAGAACAATCTGGGGAGTTGGTTCTCTTCACCACGGGGGATGTGACTCTCTGGTCGTCAGGCATAGTGCAATAGCCTTTACTCGCAGAGCTGTCTTGCTGGCTGTGTGATGCTTTCCAATCGTAGAGATAAATGTTCTCTCCTAGATCAGTAATGAAAGATAAAAGTGAGGATGTCTTTTTATAAAAAAAAAAAAAAGGCTTTGTGCATTGGTGGCTAAAAGCAGGAGTAGATGAAAGCATACTCATTTTCTTACTTTTATGGCACTTTATGAAATTTTGTAATGATACATTTTCAGGTGTGAGTGCTAGCACACATTATCGAGAACTCCTGGATCATACCACCTAGCTCGATTTCAGGACAACTCGTTGACCTTAGGCAATTCAATCTTTCTGAGCCTCAGTTACCTTATTTGAGAACTGGGAATAAAAATACAGTATACTTCCTAAAGCTGTGAACATTTACTGGTTTAGAATAATCCTCAATACCTAAATAAAAGTGTTGGCAGCTATTATTTAGTATTTGTCTTCCCACTAAACTGTGTGCTTCAATGGAACCCCTGAATATTCAGCTCCTGACCACCCCTTCTGTGTTTATGGAATGGCAGGAGTTACCACCCTTCCTTTCTGTCTCCAGCATTACAAGTTCAAGTGACTATCTCTGGAAGAGAAACAGGCTGGGCAAGTTCCCGATGTGCCCCGGCAGCTGTACCCCAAGTCGGGGGCCATTCCCAACTGGGCAGAATGGAGCTCAGCCAACTGCTGCCTCTCAGACTTGATTACAGCAGGATGCCCACTGGGAATCCAGTCTCCACTGTCAGCAGGCTGGTGCTGCCAGGGGAGGCAGCTGAGAGATATCTTGGCCTCCTAAGCTTCCCCTAGAGGGTGGGAAGAGCAAAGTGTTCAGGGAAACCTTCCCTTCTTTCCTTACTTCAGAGCCCAGAGAGCATAACAGACTGCCCAGAAAGGGGTGATTGGAGAATAAGAGGTAGTGGGGTCCAAGAGGAAAGCATGAAAAGAACACCAAGGTAAGGGTTGAGGTGACACAGCAGTGTACGCCACCCCTCCACGTGGCAACAGGAAGTTAAGTGTAGGGGACAAGGCCACTTCCTACCTCAAAGCAGCAGGTCCCAAGTCCCAGCATGGGTTGGTAGAGTAAGGTTGTAAACTGGGGGTGCCAGTAAGTCTTCAGTTTTTATCATTTACCAGGGAGGCAGAAGCAGCTGCTAGCTGTACTCCAGAAATGGAGGCTGCATATCAGTTTTTCATCAATGTGCCCTTCCTGAGTGCTCAAGGCGACTTGGTTCCTGACCTCCAGTCACTGACACTTGAAACTGCATATTCGTTGGTGTAAGGTGGACTGAGGAGATGGAGAGAGGTCACAACAAGCACAAGTCTAAGATGGGATTGCTTAGAGACACCCCAGGGGAAAATGTAAAAGCAGAACTATAACCTGACCAGTTCTATGTGCCTGCTGTGAGCAGTTTGTCATCCCACCGCCCATGAAGGGTCTACACCAGATGCTTCAGGATAACTAAGCACTGTGCATCTCTGGGTGAAATGGAAATGACGTAGGAAAATATAGGGTGAAATCTTGGAAATGACTCATATTACTGTGTAAATAGAGCTATCCGTTTCTCAAAAAAATGTTCACCAACTACCTACTATATGCTTGCCACTGCCTTTTAGTTAAACATCCTAATAAAGTGGAGATTTATAAGTTATACAATTAGAAGCATCCATTCTGTTCCTTTCCCTTTACATGTTTACTTTGCATCCTTTCCCTCCTTCACTATGTCTCCCAAATGGAACAGACTCGACTGTGTTCACTGTGGCAGTTTGGAGCACACAGACACTTCTGTGCGCTCACACAAACACACCCTCGCACAAACCCTTCTTGATCCCCATTGCTGTAGCACCCACACAACCTCCAGCTACCCCTCAGCAATTAGAGGGACGGCACATACAAATAATAACGAGCTCACTGGCTCCCTGCACATCAGTATCTATGGCAACCTCATGGGGTCCACAGGCTGTGCTGTTCTGGTTGTAGCCAGTCCCCTGGGCAGCGCCAGCACTCAGGCAGTGCTTAGAGCTCCCGGAACGTGAATAACACAGGAAATTGATGCCTTGATAATCACCAGAGGTACCCCACTGAGTGGTACCCCTCCCTTGTTCTGATCTTTCATCTTGAAGCCACTGAAAATTACATATTGCCCCCCCATGACAGATACTTCCCTCCCTGATTTTGAAATGTGATTTTAGAGCATGTAAAAATACTTACTCTTCCAATCTAGGGAAAACAGAGCAGTTGGAAGTGAGGTATTTAATTGAAAGGAGAGCCAGGTGTAGTGCCACACACCTGTAATCCCAGGATGGTAGCTAGTTTGAGAACAGCCTCATCTACCTGGTGAGTTCTATGCCAGTCAGGACTATACAATTAGTCACTGCCTCAAAAAAGGGAAAAAATATACAAGGGAGATGATGGTATTAAAAACAAAGAATAGTTACTCTTTGGGAGTAACTATTGTTGGGAGACGCTGAAAAATCAATGCTAGGAGAATTAATTCAGCTCTGTATCCACAGCATCCAGGGAACTCAGTCTATACTACCCTAAATCCTAGGAATTGCATGGCCATGTTCCAGCTACTAACATACAACATAAACATACACACACACATATATGCACATATGTGTGCATATGCATGTAAACAGATTTGTAGTTTATAATTCTATTTATTACTATTACTTTTTGTTTTTCGAGACAGGGTTTCTCTGTGTAGCCCTGACTGTCCTAGAGCTCATTCTGTAGACCAAACCCAGCTGGCCTTGAACTGGAAGATTCTCCTGCCTCTGCCTCCCAGTGTGTGCAAAGCGCTGAGTTCATCCCCAGTCCTCTGGAAGTTCATCCCCAGCACCTCAGTGCTGTTAGCAATTGAGCCATCTCT